ATAAAAAAAAAACACCTGTTCATCAGCTGGAAGAATGGAGAACTTTCTTGAAACAGGAGCTTTATATATGTATCAATAAAGTATATTAAATTTCCCTCTCATAATGTCCATAAAAGGTGACATTCCCCAAACAAGCTAGATCGTATCCCAGAATTTTCTTTGTGGTATCAATGGAAGGCAAGGGCAGCAAAGGCAGCAACAGAACAATCATAAAAACAGATATAGTGTAATAATGTATTTTTGGTAAATAATAAGATACAGCTATCAAAAATATTATTTGCTCACTGTAAACTATCAAACATTATCTTCAGCAAGTTTAAGATACACAGCTGTGTAATCCCACAAGAGTTTCCTAACTTACTTGGGGTATCCCATACTGACATTGGAATTTGTACCTTTGTCAAGATGTACTTTTTGGAATGGCTAAATGAAATAACTTTTAGGATTATTTTGCTTCACCTTCTTCTTGTCCAACATCATCATTATCTTCTTCTTAAAGGGTTAAATAATGATTGTGACAAACATCTCATATGATAAGAGCAGCCAACACAGAAGTAGAAGGATGTATGGCTTGGAATGGTAATAATAAACAGGAGGATTTCTGGCAGTATCTTTTCCAATTAACATTAGTCCTCGGCTTATGACCATTCGAAGTTACAACACCACTGAAAACAGTGACTTGTGACCATTTTTCAGACTTAGGACCATTGCAGCATCCCCATGAGCACGTCAACAAAATCCAGACACTTGGTTCAAATTTATGACTGCTGCGGTGTCCTGGGGGTCGTGTGATCCCCTTTTGCGACCTTCTGACAAGCAAAGTTAATCAGTCAGATTCACTTAATAACCGTGTGACTAATTTAATAACTGCAGTGATTCATTTGACATCTGTAGCAAGGTTGTAAAATGGGGCAAAACTCACTTAACTGTTTTACTTGGAACAAAACTGTGGGCTCAATTGTGGTCGTAAGTCAAGGACTACTGGTATTTTATTAAAAGCCATGTTGCTGTGACGTATGCCCTCATGAAACCTTATGCCGGTTAGTAAAACACACGTCTGTCGGAAAAGATGCTACCAGACTCCTTCTGATATTTATAAGGGCGAGTTGCTTTTAATACGCTTGACCAGTTTGCTAATTTGTTTTCAAAAACCTCTGAGACAGATCAGCAAGTTTTAAAAGTAAAAGCGCATCAGCGGAATTTCTTAATGCGCAACTGTAGAACACTGTGTTCATACAACCTGGTTGGGAAAAGCAGGAGCAACATTTAAACGTCATGCCAAACTTAGTTTTAATGGCAGCATTTGCTGAAGCTTTGTTTAATGTAGTATTCTTTTGCAAAAATCTCAGCTCCCAAATTGCAGTAGAAATTAGAAGGTCTTTTCCACCCACGCCTGGCCGATAGGAAAAAAAAAAACATTCTATAGTTCCAGAAGTCGCTATAAGAGTCTGCTGTATTGTTGGATAGGAAACTTTGACTGCTGGAATCATCTGCCCCATTTGTAAATTTTAACCAGAAAATTAACTCTCTGTATAATTTAATGGTCTGATTGTAGGAAAGGCCTGTAATAATGGTATCACTATTATTTTCCTTTTTTAAAGCTGTACTATAAGAAATCCATAACTACAAGTGTTTCCCCCCCCCCTCCAGCCCATAGAGTGAAACTTTTCCAGTTTTTAATTCATTTTTTGGAGCATTGGAAGGTGTTAAGGAGCAGCACTATCATAACTTGACTGATGCCAAAAGAATGCTGAATGCTTCTCATGGACGAGAGACCACCAAGAAATCTACAGAAGGCTACATTGAGAGGGTAAGAATCTGGGAAGAAAGTAGCACAGATGCCAAGAAAACTACACAGATGCACACATAAAGCTGCTAGGAGCCAAGTTCCACCTGAGAAACTTCTCATTCTTTTTTAAACAGGGCAACGAATGCTTTCAGTCTTAGATTTTTTAGGCACCTATGTCAACAAGACAGACACAGACTTCAGAAGATAATTAGGACTGCAGAAAAAACAATTACTACCAACCTGCCTTTCATGGAGGATCTGTATACTGCGCGAGTCAAAAAGAGGGCTGTGAAAATATTTACATCCCGGACATAAACTGTTTCAACTCCTTCCCCCAAAATGACACTATAGAGCACTGCATATCAGAACAACTAGACACACAAGGACAGTTTTTTCTTGAACTCCATCACTCTGCTAAATAACTAATTCCCACAACACTGTCCAACTATTTACTAAGTCTGCATTACTATTATTAATTCTTCTCATCATTCCTATCACCCATCCCTTCCCACTTGTGACTGTATGACTGTAACTTTGTCGCTTGCATCCTAACTATTTTTATGGACTGTTTCCTAGTATGATTTGATTGCTTATTGTACCCTATGACTATCATTAAGTGTTGTACCTGAGGATTCTTGACTAATGTATCTTTTCTTTTTATGTATAACTGGGAGTATTTGCGCCAGGGCAAATTCCTTGTGTGTCTAATCACACTTGGCCAATAAAAGAATTCATCCACTCATTCATTTCAGTTCCTTAAGCCTCTTCCCACAAATGGGTCCAGGGTCAACCCTTCCAGAAGTCAGCCCTCAACATGCCATGCGAAGCTACAAAATAGGAAACACAGACAAACCCTTCCTATGACTATTGGGGGGAGGCAGGTATCCCCAGATAATCTCCTACCAAGAGGGGGTCAAGCTATTCTCCAAAGCCCCTGAAGAAGGCAGGACAAGAAGCAACAGATGGAAATTCATTAAGGAGAGAAGCAACCTGGAACTAAGGAGGAATTTCTTGACAGTGAGGACAGTCAACCAGTGGAACTGCTTCCCTCCAGAAGCTGTGGGTGCTCCGTCCCTGGAGGTTTTCAAGAAGAGATCAGACAACCATTTGTCCGGAAGGGAATGGGGTCTCCTGCTCAAACAGGGGGTTGGACTAGAAGACCTCCAAGGTCCCTTCCAATTCTCTGATTCTTTTATTCTGCATAGCTTGCCTCCAGGGGTGGGTGCTCCATCAGTGGAAGCTTTCAGAAAGAGACCCTGACAATCCTTTGTCTGAAACGATATCGTTTCTCCTGCTTGAGCAGGGAGGGTTGGACTAGAAGATCTTCAGGGTCCCTTCCAACTCTCTGGCTCTGAATAGCTTGCCTTCCAGAAGTTATGAAGGATCCATGAGTGGAAGTTTTTTTTTAAAGAAGAGATTGGACAAACCATATGTCTGGAATGGTATAGGGTCTCCTGCTTGAGCGGTGGGGAGGGGGTTGGACTAGATGACCTCCAAGGTCCCTTCCAGCTGTTATTCTGACCACCCAAGATGCTCTTTCTCATTATTGCCCCAAGCTTTTCCAAAGCTTTCCCCCCCCTCCCCCGCCCCATAGTTCCAGTCTTCCACAACGGGGTGGGGGAGGAAAGAAGGATCTGGAATGGGGGGGAAAGACCCTCCCCCTTAAGCAATTCCTATGGGGAACCTGCACACACCCCAAAAAATAACCTCGGGGGGGGGGTGGCTTCTGCCAAAGCCGACCCCCTTGATTACTCCCCCCCCCTTGCAAAGATGACACGCTTCAAGGCTGAGGGGGCGAGGCCGCTCTCCCCCCAATAATTTAATGAGCCCCCCCTCCATCACCCCATGGCCTGGGAGAGGGGGGGGGGCCCCAAGACGGAAACCCCCCCTCCCCCCCCCACAACCCAGCCGCCTCCATACTCACAGAACTCGGCGATGTAGGAGGACACGACGTAGTTCTCCTCGCACCAGTCGAGGGTGGACGTCGGCGGGCCCCAGTAGCCGGTGCGGTCGCCGGCGGGAGCCATGGCCGGTCGGAGGGCCAAAAGTGAAGGAAAGGAAGCGCCTGCCGCCGCATCCGCTCTTTTTCGGGGCCCTCGGGCGAGCTGACCCCGCCTTCCCGCCGGCTTGAGGCGGGGCAGGGGCGGCGGCAGCGGCGGCGGGAGGCCCGCCTGCTAGGCCTGGCGGGCAGGGCCTCTACGTCACCATGGCGACCAAAGGTGAACCGCCCGCAAGGCTTGCTGGGCCGGGGCTTCTACGTTGCCACGGCGACCGGCGACGAATCGCCTTCAAGACTTGCCGGGCCCGGGGGGGGGGGGGGCTTCTACGTCGCCGCGGCGACGGCTCGCGAGGTTTTCAAGGGCCGTGTCTGGCCGTTGCTATGGCGACCGTCGGGCCTTCCGTCCCCGCTGGTCTCCACCCAGTGTTGGGCCTCACAGGCATCGCAAGATGCTCTCCCTCATGGAGGTCGGGGAAAGGGTTGCAGAATGTTGGGTGGGGGATTCTGGAAGTCAAACTGGCTTAAAGTTGACAAGGGTGCCAAACAGTAATCTAGGTACCAATAAGAGGTGAGGGTGAATAAAACATTATTTTATGGTCATATTTTGGGGGCAGGAGGAGAAAGAAATTGGTGATATATTTATAGATTCTAGATATATTACCAATTTCTTTCCCCCAAAAAATATGACCATAAAATAAAGTTTTATTATTCTAGATATATCACCAATTTCTTTCTTTCCCCCTCCAAAAAAATATGACCATAAAATAAAGTTTTATTCAGGAGCAGGTGGGGAAATATGGAAGGGTAAGCCTCACATTTCAAGTAGCCATAAATGAATATACAGATAGTCCTCGATTTACAACATTCATTTATTTATTTTTTTTCGAACGTACAACGGCACTGAAAAAAGTGACTTATGACCATTTTTCAGACTTACGACTGTTGCCGCATCCCCATGGTCACATAATTGAAATTCAGATGCATGGCTTATGTAATCAAAATTCAGGTCCCGGGCAACTGGCTCATATTTATGACGGTCGTGGTATCCTGGGGTCAGGTGATCCCCTTTTGCAACCTTCAGACAAGCAAAGCCAATGGGGAACCCAGATTCACTTAACAACTGTGTTCCTGACTTATCAGCTGCAGTGATTTGCTTAACAGCTGTGGCAAGGAAGGTCGTAAAATAGAGCAAAAACTCGCTTAACAAGGGCCTCACCTACTACCTGTATTCTAGTATATTGTTAGAAAGTTTCCCATTCAATGCTGTTGATTAGGGGGAAAAAAACATGATGAGACTTTGAAAGTTTGCATGCTAGAGGGAACCAGAAAGAATTTAAGATCATAAAGAAGAGACCCACAAATACGACAGAATACGATAGAATTCAAGGATATTTGGGAACAATCCACCAAGGTTACTTTTAAGATGATTTACTGTCATAAAACTCAATTTAAACAGTGTTATGGAAGAGGAACAAGTTTTATTAGAGAAGGCTGTAACAGGCAGATTTGAAAGTAGATTTAAAAATGATTAATGATATGGAAAAAAGATGGATACACAAAAGGAACCAAGTCATGTCTTCATAATTAAAGGAGATGTGCAAATGAGAAACCAGAATAGCAACTTGGATAATGGATTTATAAAAGGGGTGAAGGCGTTTCTGAAAAGAGAGGAAATGAAATTATATCAAGTTTGGAGACACTATTTAAAGGGATTAGTGAACAGAATTGTTAAAACTCCATAGACAACATTGTTAAGAGCAAAAGGAAGAGATATAAAGTTGGTTTATTTGGACAAAGCTAAAATATATGTTATTACATGGGTAGTACATAAAAAAAAATGTGACAAGCGAGTTAAAAGCTAGACAGGACCTAAAGCAGCATGGGATGGATTTAGAGTGGTGGGAATATTTACAGTTACAAGTAAGGGATAAAAAGGATAAAAAAGAATGGGGAATTAACATGCAAGAAACAGTTTTAGACAAAATTCTGTTAGGATCAGAGGATAAATTAATAGGGAAAATTTACAAATTTCTGTTAGCCTATAAATTAGAGGAAGAATAGGTAAAGGAGTCTGTAGTGCTATGGGCCAGAGATTTCAGATACAGCATTAAATTGGATCAATGGCAAACAATATGGGAAATAAATAAAAAGATTTACCATGGCCACTGCATATAAGGAAAATTTGCTCAAAATGTTTTGTCAATGGCATCTTCCACCAGCCAGATTGGCTAAGATGTATAAAAGCCAGTCCCCAAATTGTTGGAAATGCTCAATGGAGCGGGGAACATATTACCATGTGTGGTGGAGCTGCAAAAAAGCACAAGAGTTTTGGCTCAGGACTGGACTCAGTGGCTGGAGGAAATGTTGGGCTTTAAACTAGATCATGTACCAGAATGCTTTCTATTAGGAATCATGTCAATAAAATACAATAAGGATAAGCTATATTTGATTATACCTATTATTACTGCGGCAAGGATAGCATTTGCCCAGAACTGGAAGGAGACAAACATACCGAGCGACAGACGAAGTAATAAACAAAATATTGATATGCACTGAAATGGACAAGCTAACTCTAGAAGTGAAAAATGAAGGTGAATCGGCATATTATGCAATTTGGGATAGATTCTATCACTGGTGGGAACAGAAAGGAAGGTCTTAAGTTGGGAAAGGAGTTGCTGAGAGGGTAAATGAAAGGATGAGATGAAAAGAGGACCAACGATGTTGGAAATATAATATATGAGCGAACAAATGTATATATGTATATTTAAATAATTGTATATAGGAATATATATATATGTATGGTATCCAAGACCAATAAACACAGACCAAGACTCCCAACCAATCAGGATGAAGAAAAAAACCATTCTGGCACAGCAGTAGGCTAGCCCCAAATTTAAAATTGAAACGGCTGTGAAAGTCTGACTCACAGATGAACACAATACAGAAGTCTGATGATGGCAGATGAGATTCTGCCAAAACATTGCTACAACTTTAAAAGCACAACTATAATGACGTGGGAAAATACCCGAACAAAGCTGAATAATTAATATATATATATATATATATATGACTACAAATAGAAAAGTTGCAGAAGGACAGAGGGGCTAATTCTGGCTGGACAAGATTAAACCTTCAGAACAAATACATGCAGGTATTCCTCAACTTTCAACCGTTTGTTTATTGACCATTCGAAGTTACAACGACATTGAAAAAAGTGACTTAGGACCGTCGCTTTTTCACACCTACGACTGTTGCAGCATCCCTGTGGTCACATAATTAAAATTCGGATGCATGGGAACTGTTGTGAATCAATAAAAGTTACTAACATAAATGCAGATCAGGGTTTGGAAACCTGCACACCTGATTGGCCCCTATACAACAACTAGGGATTGGTCCATAAGTAGTCCCTGATTGGCCACTATTTGGACACTTCTCATTGGTTATAAGTTTGAACTTATTGCACATGTCATTGGTTAACAAGGTAGCAGATCCCTATAAAAGGGTTGCTGTTGCCCATAGCCTTGCTCTGTTCTGTTCTATTTACGATTATTAAAGAGTTGAAGTCACTGGTCAGATGTCTGGTCTCCATTATTTCCCAAACTTAACACTGGTGACGAAGGTGGGATACGGAGACCGAAGAGCTGACTGAGTTACAGAGCAACCAACAGAGCACGTGGTCGAACACGCACCATCAACGGCAACATGGCCAGCGGTGCCGTACCACCCGCTCCATTCAACCCAGAAACCGAAGACTGGGAGGCATACATGGACCGGTTCCAGATGTTTCTGGAGACCAACAATTTGAAAGATGCAACAACCGGCAAAAAAAGAGCTATCTTCCTAACTCACTGCGGGCCTACCGTGTTTAAAATGGCAAAGTCACTTGCCAAGCCAGCAGAGGTAAAAGAGATGGACTGGGACGTCCTCGAGCCCTTACTACGGGCTCACTACGCGCCCACCGTGCCAACCTTAGTCAGAAGACACGAATATTACCAGAGGGACCAACGGAAGGGCGAAAGCCTTGCCAATTACATCGCGGACCTCCGCAACCTTGGAGGCCTCTGCGGATTCACCGACTTAGAAGAAGCCCTCTGGGACCGCCTGGTTCTGGGCCTAGAAGACGGCACGATCCAGAGCAAAATTATGGCTAAGGGGGACATCAGCCTCAACGATGCCCTTAAAGAAGCCTCGGCAGCGGAGGCGACCAAGAAGTCGGCAGCCCGAATGCGCCGCACCAACGCACCGCTACGTCAACTCGCCAATGATACCTCGCCTCGCTCAGAGAGACACCCAGTATCGACTCACCACGAAGACCTAGAATCCCCATCAGAAAGCGATGAGGAAGAGGTCAACCGACTCCGAACGGAACGAGACCAGTTCACACAACCCTCATTCCGACCGTGTGCAGGATGTGGGGCGAATCACCCACGATCCAACTGCAAATTCCTCGACGCACTCTGCTGAAATTGCGGGAGACGAGGTCACATCGCAAAGGTTTGCAGAAGCAAACAAAACTCCAAACCCCGACAGGCCGAATGCCAATCTTCAGGATTCTTCAGCACACACCGAGAAAAACTGAACCACTAATGGGGAAACCACTCCTACAGAAACAAGCCGTCCACCACTTCCACCAGGCGTGAAGAAACCAGGCGGGAAGAGACCCACCAAACAATCACCATTGGCCACGCTACATCCCTTGATGCCGGGAAAATCCGAGTAAAGGTCGCCATCGAAAACAAACCTTGCGTGATGGAGGTAGACTCGGGATCTTCCCTCTCGATGGTGTCGTGGAAAACGCTCCAACAGCTCATTCCAACGATTCGCCGCCAAGACCTTAACCCTCAAAGGGTTATACTCAAAGACTATCAGGGCAACCGAATTCCCGTCGTCGGGTCCCGCAGATTCCAGATCTCTTTCAAGGACCGTACCGTCGCTCTGCCACTGACTGTCGTGGACCGCGACAGGCCTAGTCTTTTAGGCCTTCAATGGTTCAGGCCGCTTGGAATTACTGTAGCCGGAGTCCACCGAGCCGAGAGCAACGATTGGGAGGAAGCACTCGTGCAAGAATTCCAAGACGTTTTCGCGAACGGACTAGGCAAGTACAAGGGGACCCCGATCTCGTTTAACTTGAACCCTGAGATAGCACCCATCCGCCTTAAGCCACGTCAGGTGCCATTCGCCTTGAAGCCTAAAATCGACGAACAACTTGATAAGCTAATAGCGCAGGGCGTGCTGGAACCCACCGACCACGTCCGCTGGGAAACCCCTATAGTGACGCCTATCAAGCCTGATGGGTCACTGAGAATTTGCGGAGACTACCGGGCCACCTTAAACCACGCACTACAGCAAAGTGCATATCCAGTGCTGGTAGTGCAACACTTGCTCCATTCCCTGGGTGGCGGGAAAGTTTTCGCTAAACTAGATCTAGCCCAGGCGTATCAGCAATTGCCTGTAGATCCTACCACGGCAGAAGCGCAAACTATCGTAACGCATAGGGGCGCATTTAAATGCAACCGGCTCCAGTTCGGGGTAAGCGTCGCCCCTGGAATCTTCCAGAGTTTAATGGAAAGGTTGTTACAAGGGATCAGAGGGGTCGTACCATATTTCGACGATGTACTCATCGCCGCCCCTAACAAAGACATCCTAGAAAAGCGACTCAGAGAGGTTTTACGAAGATTCCAAAACGCAGGCCTCAGAGTTAAAAAAGATAAATGCCAGTTATGTACCGAAAAAGTAGAATTTTTGGGATACCTCCTGGACAGCCAAGGAATCCATCCCACCGAAGACAAATTAAGGGCGATTAAAAAGGCCCCCACTCCAAGGAACAAGGCAGACCTACAGGCGTTCCTTGGACTTATCAATTTCTATAATGTCTTTTTACCCCACAAAGCAACGGTAGCAGAACCATTGCATAGACAATTAGACAAAAAAGCAACGTGGGTTTGGGGACAACGGGAACAATGTGCTTTCCAACAAGTAAAGAAATTGCTAACTTCTGATTCTGTACTTATGCAGTACAATGAGACTCTTCCGCTCACTATCACGTGTGACGCATCACCTTTTGGGGTTGGGGCAATTCTGGCCCACGTATTACCAAATGGAGCGGAAGCCCCCATCACGTTTTTTTCGCGAACCCTAGCTAAAGCTGAAAGAAATTATAGTCAGCTGGACAAGGAAGCTTTAGCTATTGTGGCTGCAGTTAAAAGATTTCATGAATATGTTTAT